GATTAGAGCAGAAGTCAGTCATTTAGGGCACCAGATTTAGAGAGGAGTTTAGGGAAAGACAAGGGAGGGAGAGGGCGTGGTACTCACATTCAAGAGGGGAAAGGTATTTAGAGAGAGTGAGTGAGAGAGCAAGCAAAAGAGGAGAAAAGAAAGAAAAAGAAAATGAGAAACAAAAGAAATGAAAAGAGTAAAGAAAATCAAAACAAACAAAAACCACTTAGCAGCACTACAACAGGTATTTCGTGTAACAGACAGACAGTTGAGATGAAGATCGATGCTCTGCTATCTGAGTCTCACCTTTGGTATCCTCGTCCTCGAGTGTGGTGTTGGAGGAGTCGGTGGACTCCTTCACCTGCGAGCCGTCGCCCTTCTTGTTCACAATCGACCGACCTGAGAAGGGGAAAGAATGAAGATATGAGAGCACAGTTCCAAATGGACCGATGGTCACTGCTAGTGAAGCACACTATTTCCTCCCCTTCTCTATGCCTCTAACTCACTCTTACTGGAGAAGTTCCGTGTGGCGAGCATGGTGGTGAGGATGGCGCCTTTCAGCTTCCGGCGAGCATTGAACTTCTTAAGGCAGTCCACTGTCTCCTGGCGGTGCAGGGTGGAGGCGACGCGTTCTCGCTGGCAGATCCACGGGTGCTTCAGCGCCTCCGCCGCGGTGATGCGCTTCGCCGGGTTCACCGTCAGCATCGAGTTGATCAGGTTCTTCGCCTCGGGCGTCACCGTGTCCCACTCGGGCGAAGGGTACTGAGGGGAGAGGGAGGGAATGAATGAAAAAGAAGTTCAACAAAAAAGGGCATCCCACATACATCATAGGCGCCGGCCTTGATCTGGGCGTAGAGGCGGTGCTGGTCCTCGTCCCAGAAGGGCGGGTATCCGACGAGGAGAATGTAGAGGATGACGCCGCAGGCCCAGATGTCCACCGGCTTCCCGTAGGGGTCCTTCTTCAGCACCTCCGGACTGAGGTAGCCCGGGGTGCCCGCAAAGCCGTACCACGCCTGCTGGTCGCCCTGCACCTCGATGGCCAGGCCAAAGTCCGCCAGCTTCACCGCCGCACCCTTCGCCTTGCTCGCCAGAAGCAGGTTCTCCGGCTGGGGAAAGATAGAGAATGGGTGTTAGTCAGGGTTAGAAAACTTCTAAAGCTTCAGGTATTACCTTGAGATCTCTGTGGACGACATTGTTCATGTGACAGTGATTGACCGACTCGAGAATCTGCTGGATGCAGTGACTGGCGTCAGCCTCGGAGTAGTACTCCCGAGCGACAATGTCCTCGAAGAGCTCGCCCCCGGTGACCAGGTCAAAGATCAGGTAGTGGTAGCCCTCCTCCTGGATGCTGTCGTGCAGGCGTACTGATGGGAGAAGAAGGATAAGGAGATTATTTTTAGGAAGACAGCTTTTAGAGATAGAGCACTACTAACCAATGTTAGGGTGGTTCAGCTTCCGACAGATACGGGCCTCGCGTTCGAGCTTCTGAAAGTCTGCTTGGATTGTCGTGAGTTGAGGGGAGAAACAAGGAAATGGAGAGAAACAATTTCAAAGTAAGTAAATCACTGATGTCCAAGTGAGGCGGCAGTGCAAGGGGAAGGGAAGGTCAAGTGTGTGAAAAGAAGCGGGGAGAAAAGAAGCGGGGTTGTTCTGCACCTTTAACACTAATCGGATTACCTCGAGAGGAAAGCTTTTTAGTGTTGATAATCTTGGCGGCAAACTCCAGCTGCGTCGTCTTCTGCACGCATCGTCGCACCACCGAGAAGGCGCCCCTGAGTGGGAAGAAGAAGAAGAATTGATTAGAATGGCACTAAATTGGATTGATTTGGGTAGGGAAAGGGTTTGTTGTTTGCTCAAGACCAATCAATAGAGTGTACGGCAATTGTACGACAGCTCTCTCTCTCCTTTCTATCTCAAAACACATACGAGCCATAGCTGGCCCCAGGCAGTGCGGAAATGTCGGCGTTGCGAATGAGGCCGGCAAACTCGTAGACTCGGGCAAGGAGGGAATCGGGGCCGGGCGAGGGCGGCAGAGAACAGCCACCATTGCTGCCGTTGATGCCCTGCTCAAAGAGGCCCTCAAAGTCACCGACGGAGGATCGCTTTCGAGCACTGGCAGAAATGGCGCCATTTGACATCAACACAGCTGGCTTATGCTTAGCAGCTTTCTTCAGGGCGTCCTCATCATCTGGCGGCACTTTGCCATTGTTCTCGCTTTTAGTGTCAAGCTCGGTGACGGAGGAGTTTCCCTTCTTTGAAGTTGATCTCCTAAAGTAAACTCGATGGAGAAGGAGAAGCAGCAGCAAAAGGGAACAGAGGGAGAAGATGAAGAGCATGCTGCTGCCGCTGCTGAAGACTGATTGGGGCTGATGTAGTGGCGGCGGCGAAGGACCGCTTTCCTGCTGGGGGTGATGGGGGTGATGATAGTGGTGAAGGCGATAGTGATGCTGCTGTTGGTGGTGATGGTGGTGATGATCAGCCGATGATGGCTGATGCGCCACCAAAGACGATGGGTGTTGCTGGTGCGGCTGATTCTGCTGGGGATACTCCACACTGGAGTACATCATGGTCGAACTGATTTGTCTAGTAGTCTTGTGGAGAAGAATTTGCTGGAGAGAGCAAAGGAGAGAATAACTGCGATTCACTGCAAAGAATCAGCTAACCAATTCTCTGGCAGCAGCCACAACCAAGCAGATGCTCTTGACTTTCACTACTACTGTTCAACTACAGCCGTACACTCCTTTCTTTCTCAGCCAGTTCTGCAGCTGCATCAAAGAAGAAAGACAGCAGCAGTTTTTCTTCTTCGTCAGTCTGACTTTGTTTTCCTCTGCAGCAGCCGGCAGTTGAGCGCTCAGTACGAATAAACAGAGAGAGAAGAAAAGAAAGCAAAAGAAAAGACAGCAAGTGAATGGCTAAAAGTGAACTGCAGCCAGAACTGCTGCTGTACAAGGCTACCCAAAGACACGTACAATCGTACAAGAGTGTACCACCGCCACCACCCACAGAAGCTTAGTCAGTTAGTCAGTCAGTCAGCTGCTGTGACGAATCGCTCACCACCACCACCACCAGGAAAGCTTCGTGGTGACCTATTTTTATAGCCCAAGAGGAGGAGGGGGAGAAGGAAAGGCAGTCAGTCAGTCAGTTACCGCCATTAGCAAAAGATAATCTGCACTGCTTGAGAAATTGCAGATAGAAAAGTAGTCGTAGTAGTCGTAGCCCTTGCAGCAGCAGCAAACTCTTTTACTCTTTTTCCCCTCCTTTCCCCCTCCAGCAATGATCCTCGTTCGATTGGACTCTACACACTTTCTATTTTCTATTTTTAACAACCTCAAACACACAACCCGCATTTTCATTTGCCGGCACAAACAGACACAGGCAGACACGTCGGCACGGAAAGCAGAGGAAAATGTGAAGACCGAATCAACTGTATAGAGCGGCAGTGTACAGCAGCAGCGACACAGGCGACGATTCGGGTGCGAGGTGTCCCTTCAGGCTTCAGGCTCTCTCCCTCTCTCACTCTCTTCAACCCCAGTTGATTACGTAAATAATAAAGAGGCAATCCGCCTGACAGGGGTAAATGGGTGAAAGGTCATCACCGAGTGAGCCAGTACTTACTTTCCGAGCTCCTCCTTGAGATCGTAGTTGTCGGAGAATCGGGTGGTGGCCGGCGGTTGACCAGACATCATCGTCTGAGGGATCGGGAACGATGCTGCTGCTGCTTCCAACCAGAGTGAGCTGCTCAACGGGGCTCAAGTGGCACTGGGCTCACTGGGCGGCGGCGGTGGTGCTGCACCTGCAAATGTAAAAGAGAAAGAGAAAGAAATTAGTTGTTTGCAGTGTGTGTGCTCATCAATATTGCAATAGGGGCAGTGGAAAGTGCACCCCCGAAAGAATGCATCCCACCAAGCAGTGAAGCAGATAATGGCCATGCAATGAGATGGTACTAGCCAAATCAGCTACCCAGTTCAGCTTCCCAAACACAGCGAATGCGTGTGTCAACAGTGGGCACATTGTTGTCACCCCCTCCCAGTGGACTACTTCTGCCCTGGATTGTTGACATTCGCTGACGTCAGAGCAGAGCAGAGCTGGTGTCACTGGCAGTGAGCTGTGCCTAATCTCCTCTGACATGGAGCACAACAACTAGCTACTACTTCATCAGCGCCGGTTCAGCTTTCTTCAGTGCATGACTGCAATCGACAAGATGATGAAGATGATGATGAAGCTGACGAAGAAGAAGAAGAAGCCAATTGCCAATGCCTCCTGGATCCAGATCCAGTGCAAGCACTCGCCTGACTTGACTGAACTTGACAGCGGACAGATGAGGTACACAGTGGTGGCCACGGCCAGTGAGATCTCGTCCACAAATACACAAGACGGTATCAATTGAAGGGGATTTGCAGAGGAAGGGCACGTAAGCAGACTTCTTATGGATCTTGCCTGCCTGCCTGCCTGCCTGCACCTCAATCAGCTATCAACCAGCACAGATGTCACAGCACAGCAAAAACTTTGCCATTTAGTGTTGTTCCGTGGCGGGCGAGCTATTCAATTAGCAAATGAGCGAGAGTAAAGTGGGTGCATCCACCAGCAGTCTACCTCTCTCCAAGACAGGCAGCACTCACATTAGCATTACATCACGTACTAATGCCGCAGCAGCAGTGCCACTACATCCCTCATCACTCTTCATTACTGGCTGCAGAGAGAGAAAGAATATTCTGTTCATCTTTCCTCTCTGCTGCTAAATCCAGGCAGGCAAGAAAGGGAGAAAGGCAGGCAGGCAAAGTGCTCAAGTTGGTGCTGGTTGCTTAGCTGCTGCTGCCATTCGATCTTCTCCGTTCAATTAACTTTCTCCTCAAAATAATAATAATATTCCGCTGCTGCTGCTGCTGCTGCTGCTGCAAACAACCACTTTTTTCTCGGAAATGGTGCACACAGGATTGCTGGTGCTACTTTTGGCAGGGCACAGAAAAGACACACAGCATTCCTTGATTTGCAGCTACGTGCACTCCCCGGCCAATCAGTGTCTGTAAAATTCAAAAGTCGCAGCCAGCACTCACTACTCACTACCCTGAGCGTAATTAATTTCACACTTGGACTCTCACGTACCCCCTCTGAAAGCGATTGTTATTACCACGAACAAGTGCTGGTGGTGAACAAGCTAAGCCCACACACAACTCAGCTCCTCAGCCGAAGCAGTGTGCAGATCAGGCCCATTAATAAGCATTAGTGAGAGAAGCCAAGAGGACCAGCAACAGCAACAGCACTAGAACTTGGCAATTGAGGAAATCGATTTTCATTGGGCTAAATTGCACAATTTTCTATTTGCCCAAGCAGACAGACAGTTGGAGAAAATGGAGCTGCTGCTGTTGTCGTTTCTCTCTCTCTCTCCTCGACCATGAAAGAGTCTCTCGGCAGCAAGTTCCGAAGTGAAATTGATCGATAGTGAGCAGAGCAGCGAGCGAAGTTAAGCAAAGGCACCCTACTTGCTCTCGCTGCTTAATTATTACCGATAGATCATGGCTGTAGTCTGTGGTGCTGTGGTGGTCCTGGTGGTCGTGGTGGTCGTGGTGGTCGTGGTGCTCTGAGGACGACTCAGTGCGCATTAAGAGTGCTCACCGGCAAGCCTGTCGCCTTGACTGCTGTAAATAGAGATCAGCAGAAGTGAAAGAACAACAACAACAACGAGACAGAGAAAGAGAGAGATAAGATGTGTCAAGGTAAGCTCAACTAGACAGAGAGCTGCTGAAGGAGCATATGACACAAGCTAAAAAGGAGCTGCGAACGAGGAAATGAAGGAGACGCAGCAGTAGTCGTCGTACAGGTAGTCGTACAGTGCACTAATAGCAGCAGCAGATCAAAGCTTGCTAAATGCTGGTGAAATCAAATTAAGTGGCAGTTGGGGGAGGAGGTCTCTACCTCAGAGTGAGGTAGGTACAGAGCAGTTGGGAGTATTAGCAGCAGGATCGAGATGATGATGATGATGATGGTGATGGTGATGCTGCTGCTGATGCTGATGCTGGTAATTAAGGGCTCCTTCTTATCTGCCCTCTCCACTGCACTCCACACTTAGGTCTGGTAATTACATCGGTCGGGTAATTCCTGGTAGTCCTCTTTGCAATTGGAATTAAGTTACCAACTGTATTTACCTTCGGCTTAGCAAAGTGGCCAAAGTTGCCGTCGTACAGCTGCAGTAACAGTAGCTGCTGCTGCAGTGCGCAGCCTAAGCTCAACTAGCAGGAAAAGTAAAATCGATGAATGAGAAGAGAAAGAGAGAGAGAGAATGAGGAGACAGTCTTGGCGGCTGTCTTCAACGAGGAAAGTACTTTGCTGTGGACAGGACAGGACAGAACAGAAGAGGAGTCCTTGAGGAGGAGAGAGTAAGCGAGGAGACAACCTGAGGTGGTGAAAACACACACACACACAGTCGGCACAGTCAAGCGCGCACAAGTTGCCTTCTATGATAAATGACTCTAATCAGGAAAAGACACTTGCTAAAAACGGTAAGTGTGTGTGTGTTACCCAAAATGAAGAGGAAAGGGCGACAGAAGGCACTACTATGGAAACAAATACACACACACACACAAACACAGCGACACAAACACTTTAAAGTTTACAAATTACGGGCAAATGAATGAAGGGCGAGAGATTGATAGGACTGCAATCAAATGTGTGTATGTATGGCTGGCTGAGGCGACAATCCAAGTGGTCGTCGATGATATGGCTTCGGTGGCTTGGGAGGAGGAAGAGAGAACTCTCACAGAGTAACGCATGAGGTTAGCACCACAATCACAACAACAACAGAAAAGTGGCCAGTAGCGGAAATCAGTGGTGATACTGCAAAAAGATAGTGAGTGAGTGAGGAGGACAGACAGCACAACACAAGGCAGTGAGTGGATGACTGAATGACTGAATGAACAGAATCAAGAAGAAGAAATTAGGCGAATCACAGCTTGAGCAGAACTAGGAGGCTGAGAAAGATCACTTTCACCTGCTGTAAAAAAGCTGCTGTTGTGCACAACGATGAGCACAAAGTCGAGGATGCTGTTGGTGTTGCGGCTGCTGGTGGTCGTCGCTGTCGTCGTCGTCGTACACAGCTCGTACACAACTCGTACATGCAGTGGGAGAGAGGGAGAGAGAGCAATAAAAAGCGACGGCAAGCGAACACTTCGGTGAGCGAGTTGAATCGCTGAAAAATCACGAGGAGGAGGAAGAAGAAAATCTTCCCCGCCTGAGTGTGCCTGAGTGTGCGTTCCTTGGTTCGTTTGGTGGTGGTGGTGGTGGTGTTTCTTCAGCAGTCTTCTTCTTCTTCTTCGCCTTCTGTCTTCTGTTCACTTGTTCACTTCTCAGCTTAGTGCTGTGTGTGTTCACTGCTTTTTCAGCATTGCATTGACATGCTGCAGCTGCAGAAGAAGAAGAAGGAGGAAGACGTGTTGCCGAATACTCTCACTGACTGACTGACTGTCTGTCTGTGCTCTTCGCAGGCAGCATCACCACCATCACCACCACCACCATTGCCGACACACTCAGTCAGCGAGACGTGCACCGTTGTTGTACAAGAGTGCGGCAAAGAGTGGAGGGGGCAGAAAGAAGGCAACTAAACGAAACGAAATGAGTGGTGGAGGAGACAGGCAGTCAGTCGGCAGGCAGGCAGGCAGCAACATTGCTGAATTCGTTCGCTCAGTGCTGATGATGACGCCAGTTCATCTTCTCTTCCCGGTAGATGAAAGCTGAGTGGTAGTGTTGTTGCTGAATGTGGCCAACACACGCACACACACAGCGAAAGCAAAAACACTTTTTCGCAATCACCTCAGCTCACCTCACCTCAGCTCGACAAGAGCTGGAGCTGGAGCTGGAGTTGGGCTGAAGGAAAGCATCAAGGCGGCACGTACGGCAATGATAGTGCTGCTGGCAGGCAGTTAAGCAGAGAGAGAGAGAATCACTCTTGAACAGGAGAANTGGAGCTGGAGTTGGGCTGAAGGAAAGCATCAAGGCGGCACGTACGGCAATGATAGTGCTGCTGGCAGGCAGTTAAGCAGAGAGAGAGAGAATCACTCTTGAACAGGAGAAAGGACGAGGAATCCCCGAAAACTACTACTGCTGGCAGACAAGATCTACTTCAACTTCGTACACAATGCAGGCAGAAGATTCAATGGGATCTCAAGTGAAAAGGAGGAATAATACACTGTCAGCGAGTGCCGCAGACGTACTCAGTCTCTGTCTCTGTCTCAGTCTCTTTTTGCCTCTCTTCAATTGGTCTTTCTCGTGTCTGTGCATCTGCCGCTGAGCTTAATGAGATGAATGTAATGCGGCAGCGAGCAGAGGGGAATACACCGCCATCCAACCAACCAACCACCATGACAGGGTGAGCAATGCCAGCAGCAGCAGCAGTCTCTGAGGATGGACACTGCAGGCGAACATTTCTTGTCCTTGTCGCTCATCATTGAGGAGGATCTCGTACAAAGCAAGAGAACAAAAAGGAAACGGTGGTCAACTTACCGACAACGACGGTGGGCCGAGCTGAGGAAGAAGAGCAGATGAGGGCTGATGAGGGTGATGGCGATGGCGATGATGATGGTGATGCTACCCACTGATGCTACTGACGATGCTGAGGGTGGTGGTGGTGGCGATGGCGCTGATAAAGGGGCGATGGTCCAGTGATGATGATATTGCACACCAAATTGAAGCC